TTACATCCCTAAGGCCCAACACAGCTCTAGGCATATGGGGGAGCACAAACACCTAAACAGTGAACAGCCTCTGCTCTACAGAGTCACTGCTGGCTACTCATATATATATTCACATCTGTGCGTCTGCAGGCTAGAAATGGAACCATCCCATACCTACTGCTTTTCTCCCTCAACCTTGCTATCATTTTCTTCTCAACTGAGGTACACTGATTTGTAACATTATATAAGTTTCATTAGTACTTTTTATTTCTATTTCTGTATCCCCTACAACATGCTTAAAAAAATATGGAATGCTCCATGAGTTTGTATGTCATCCTTATGCAGGAGACATGATAATCATCTCTGTCTCATTTCAATTTCAGAATATGTGCTGCTGAAATGAACACCTGAGACATCTTTTTAAGTCAATATGTAAAGATCTACCTAAAAAGGGCTCTTAATGGATCCCCATGAGAGAGAGGCAATGTAAGGCTACTATCCGGTTCTTAATTTCTGGTACAATACTGCTTTTTAGGCTGATTTTACATTATAAAAACACACCTCCACTTACTGGTATCTTTGTGTTACATCCGTGGGTTTCCCAAGTGGCTCAACAAGTAAGGAATCTGCCTGCCAATGCAGGAGACACAGAAAACGTGTGTTCTATCCCTGGGCTGCAAAGATCCTCTGGAGGAAAAGGCAACCCACTCCAGTATTCTTGCCTGGAAAATCCCATGGACAGAGGAGCCTGGTATGCCACAGTCCACAGCGTCGCAAATAGTTGAACCCAACTGAGCGACTCAGCATGCACACATGTGGGTTCCCAGCCCCCAAAATTCCCATTTGGGCACCTTAACTCCCAACCAGATGATACTAGGAAGCAGGGCCCTTGGGAGATGAGCACAAGGCCCTCATGAGTGGGTTTAGTGAGAGCTCCCTTGTCCCTTCCTCCATGTGAGGACATGGCAACAGAGAAAATGACTGTGGAAAACATAACACAGACTGTTAAAATAATTACCTGTGAAACATGGGTTTATGGGGACCTTTAACTTTGTAAGTTAAATTTACAAATTTTTAAAGATGTGCTATTTTTGTGATTTAAACAAAAAACATGTTTTCCCACACTGTCTTCTGCATCCAGAGACTCCAGCACCTCAAGGTCCACCTTGACTAATGGCAAAGAACCAACCAGGAATGGGGGCGTTGGGCCAAACAAGCTCAAGTCATACAGCAGAGAGCTACCCTCTCTATCTCAGGCCTCCAGCCCAAGGCAGTTGACCTTGAACTCTCATTAAGCCCACTCCCCCAGTGAGATGTGCCCTAGGCCCCTTCCCAAGGATGGCTAGGGGCCAGCCAGGGCTGCAGCTTCCAGCTAGTTATGCTATGTCACTAGCATTTGCTACTAGCTAACAACTTATTTAGGCAGGCCTCTATAGATTACATTAAGATATGAAGCAGCCTGTTATCATAGCAAGATGTTGCTCTAGAACATTCAGGCAGTTCCCTGACCCCTCGAAAAGAAAAATGGCACTTTTGCCAACTACCACCTTCTGCAAGGGGCCTCTCCCACCCAATCTGCCATACCAGGAGAGTTCGTGGAATCTGGTGTGCAGAAGGGCAAAGCTCTAAGTGAACACCCCCCAGCATGGTCCCTCCCCACCCCAACTCTTGCACCCAGCCCACACCCAAAAGCAAAAGCACACACACCCAGTTCCTGAACCCTGCAGCCTACTGAGACCAAGGTCAGCACAGGTCCATTAGCTTCTCTCGGTTTCAGCTCTGGAAGGACCCAAGGAGCTGCCTGAGACACGAGGTGGTCAGCACCAGGGGCACAAAGGCTGCTGGTCAAAGTGAAGACCCCGCCAGCAGTCAGTAGCAGGGACACTGACGTCTTTGTGGACGAAGGGAGCTTTTCTTCCCCCAAGAGAAAGACAGGCGCACTAAATGGTCTGTCTCTGAGAAGTCAAAGCTGTACTCTAATCATGGAACATGGCACATGGCATAGGGCTTTGTAGCAGAGGCCACGGCAAAATGTCTAAGTCAGGTAGCTACCATCAGCCACAACTCACTCACCAATAACCAGCAGCACAAGGATGACAATGAGAACCACAAAGAAGGTGTTGCCATAGGTCACTACCAACTCCACAAGGCGGGACTTGAAGATCTTCTGCCATCTGTGAATAAGACAAAAAGGCTAAGGTCAGTAGAGTAAGAACACACACCTAGAATCCAGGGCCCTGAAAACAGAAATACAGTTTTGCTCTCTTCAAAGGCTGACTATCTCATACAGATTCAGTCTCAGCTGCTTGCAATTCTCCAACTTATGACATCCGTTCAACAGTGTTAAAAAGAAAAAAAAAAGATACCTGTCCAAGTACAGAAATTTCTAGAAAAAGTCTTAAAATACTGGTAGGTTCTGGGTAGAGAAATGCGAAACTTAGTGTCCCCCCTGTAGTATCAAAATGCTTGCCAAATCCACATTATTTCTTTAAACTGTTTTCCCATGTGCCCAATCTTGGCTCATCTAGACTCCCACCACCCCCAATTACCATGAAGGAGACCCCTGACCTCCTTTCCTTTCCCTCCATAAATACTTCCGCATACAGCTCCATCAGAGAAGAGCCTTCAGAAATGGCTACCAATCGCAATGCCACCGCCAGGCCTCAAAAAAAGTCAACAAAAATCTCTCATCATCAGAGTCAGAACTCCAAAGTCCAATTGAGGCAATGATTTTTAACAATTGGTCTGTTTGAATCCTGACAAGTTTCAAATTCTGCATTGTTTATAAGTACCTTAAACCTCTCTTATTCTACGAACTCCCCCCTCCCTTGCCCTCTTTTGTTTTCTCTCCCAATTCACTGTTGCAGAAACCAGGCTGTTGGTCCTGCAAAGCTTTTCATTAGCAGCTCCAAGTGGGCCGCTGTCTCTGCATTTCCTGTCAACTGTATGAAGTGATTCAGATCTAGCTTTTGTCAAGAACATTCCTTAAGCAGTGTACACTTTCTATCACAATAGTGGCCTATGATTTTTCATTAAAAAGAAGCTTTTATGAAAACATCTGTAAAAAGTCTTATTTGTAATGTTCTAACTTAAGACCAGATGTGTTCCTATAGTATGTGTAACCACGATGAATTTCAAAATAACTTTTCAGAAGTCCTCTGTTCACTGAAAAGAAACATGGCTTCAGCCTTCCTAAGCTGAGTAATGCTCATGAGGCGACTACGCAACCCCAGAGAGACTGGTTAGGAGGACAGAAGTCACCAAATCAACAGGAACATAACCCAGGGGCAAGTCTTGCAGATCTCACAATGCTATCCCCTAAACACCCGGAGGGCATCGTTCCCAGAACGATCATTCAGTCTTCTCCCCTCTGGCACACTCTGAAGACCAGAACTTAGGGTGCAGGGGAAAGGATCTCTCAAGATGTGACTGAGCAGAATTGTGGGCCTGGCTGGAGATAATAAACACAGTCCTTGCCACCCCATCCCAGACAGGTTCTACCTGTTTCTGGCTAGCTTCAATTCCATGGGCCCCCAACTCTGCAGGCACAAGCTAACGAGACTCTTCCTGGCTTGCCTGCCCATACCTTTTGGGAGAAATGAAGGGAATGCAGAGCAGCAGCACAGCGAAGACCTCCGCATAGAGGAAGGTGGCGACTGCAGTCCACTGCAGACTCATCGTGTTGCTAGCAGCTTTCCACCGGGAAGATGCGAGCCTGTTCCTGACGGAGCACAGAACGAACAGGCGTCGTGACAGCTCGGCAGCCACCAGCCCTAGACCTGAGTCTTTCCAGCCCTCAAGCCCTGCAGCCTTGCTGCCAACACCTCCAGAGACACTTCCCAAACAATTCCTCCCCGTGGAGTCCGGGAGACTCCGCCTGCGGAACCCGAGCAGCAGTGGGTGGGAATCGGCAGCTCGGGGAGCCCGGAGATCTACTCCGCTGAGGGGCGCCAGAGGCTACCACCCACCACACCGCAGCCTCGGTCCTAGTAACGCCTTCGCGCTTCCTCCCAAGCTGTGACGCCTCTAGGCCCTTCCACCCGGGCCAACAGAAAAGGAGAGAGCAGCTCCTCCCAGGGCAGGAGTGGAACGCCAAAGCTTCCCAACCACCGCCCCTTCGGCTCGGGCTTTCGATACCTCCGAGAGCTCCCGAGAGCGACTCCTAGAGGACGAGAGTCGGAGCCAAGGGCAAGCGCGGGTCTCAACCCAGCACCTCACGGCCCCATCCAGAGAAACTTCTAGAAGACTGTCTCCTCCTAAGCCAGAGAAACCCCTCCCGGCCTCCCAGGTCGGTAGCGGCGCCTACCCAGCTCCAGAAGACCCCAAGAGAGGGCCCCGACCTGGCACGCCCTCCCAAGCCCCACCCCGCTGGCTCCTCCAGAGGGACTTCGACGTCGCCCCCCACCCCTGGAGATGGCTCCACCCGCCGCCACCCCAACTTCCCTCCGCCCGGTCCCGCCCCCGCACCTCGCGCCCCAGGCCTCCTCGTCGAGGAGCCGGGGGATCTCGACGGCCCCGGAGCCTAGCACAGCGCGCGAGTCCGCTTACCGAGTTCTCCACAGTCACCACGCACGCTTCGTCGCCGCCAAACTCTCCCACCACCAGCCCGGCCCCGCCCCTTCCCCCGCGGCCGGAACCGGAAGCGCCCGGCTAGTCCCGGCCCGCCCCCAACCGCCACAGGGCCCCGGAGGCCCCGCCCCCGAGCCGAGGCTCCCGACACCTGGGACTGGGGAAGAAGCCTCGCCTTGCGCGCGCGCACGGAGCGACAGGGCCCCGGCCTTGGCGGGAAGGCGAGGTGCCGCTTCTCTAGCCCGCGCGGTCCTCCCGCGTCTCTGTGGTCCGGGGAGGGGGCGGGGCCCCACCGTGGGGCGAGAACTGGGTGGGGCGCCCCGCGCCTGGGCTCCGCCTCCCGCCCCTCCTCCGCCTCCTCCCCCTCCCCCGACTCGCCCCTGGGGAGGGGTGGCTGGGTGGGTAGGTGGGGATTCTGGGCGGGTGGCGGAGTCACAGTCGCTTCAGCCGGGCTGCGGAGCGGACGGACGCGCCCGGTACCCCGGGGAGGGGCGCCACCAGGGGAGGAGGAGTAGGAGGTGGAGAGAAAAAGACGCCCTCTCGGCCCGGACCTCTGGAGGCTCTGACCCCAAGGGCCAAGGGACTGACAAGTTCCTCCACTTCGGCCGCCCGAAGAGGCCGCGACCCAGGAGGGCCCTGAGCCCACCCGCGCCAGGGGCCCCAGCACCACCCGGGTGGCCTAAAGCGACAGTCTCAGGGACCACTGCGAGGTCTCCAGTTGCCTAGACAACGAGCCCGGGGTCAGAGCCACCACCCTTGCAGCCACCTGCCTCCTCTACCGCCTCAGGCACCCGTCCTAGTCCCGTGAGTCCAGCCCAGGTGACATGACGGTGCTCTCTACCCCCCGAGCCTCGCGGGTGACCACGCTGAAGCGTACTGCCGTGGTCCTGGCCCTCGTGGCCTATGGAGCCCACAAACTCTATCCTCTGGTGCGCCAGTGCCTGACTCCGGCCAGGAGCCCTCAAGCACCGGCGGTGGCTGGGGAGCCTGCACAGGACGTCTCCGGTGCCCCCGTGGCCACAGTGGCCAAGGCCAGCGTCAACCGGGTGTTCTTGCAGCGGCTCCTGTGGCTCCTGCGGCTGCTCTTCCCCAGGATCCTGTGCCGGGAGACAGGGCTGCTGGCGCTGCACTCAGCTGCCCTGGTGAGCCGGACGTTCCTGTCAGTGTACGTGGCCCGCCTGGATGGCCGGCTGGCCCGCTGCATCGTGCGCAGGGACCCACAGGCCTTCAGCTGGCAGCTCGTGCAGTGGCTGCTCATCGCGCTGCCTGCCACCTTCATCAACAGTGCCATCCGCTACCTGGAGGGCCAGTTGGCCCTGGGTTTCCGCAGCCGGCTGGTGGCCCACGCCTACGGCCTCTACTTCTCCCAGCAGACCTACTACCGGGTCAGCAACATGGACGGGCGGCTTCGCAACCCAGACCAGTCCCTGACGGAGGACGTGGTGGCCTTCGCTGCCTCTGTGGCCCACCTCTACTCCAACCTGACCAAGCCGCTCCTGGACGTGGCCGTGACCACCTACACCCTGGTTCGAGCGGCCCGCTCCCGTGGGGCTGGCACAGCCTGGCCCTCAGCCATCGCTGGCCTCGTGGTCTTCCTCACGGCCAACGTGCTGCGAGCCTTCTCGCCCAAGTTCGGGGAGCTGGTGGCTGAGGAGGCACGGCGCAAGGGAGAGCTGCGCTACATGCACTCCCGAGTGGTGGCCAACTCAGAGGAGATTGCCTTCTACGGGGGCCATGAGGTGGGGCCAGAAAGCGCGTGGCTGGGGGAGTCCAGGGCAGGAAGGCCGGGGGCTGCCTGCGGCTGACGGCACAGGTGTGGGCCGGCCATGGGAGAGGGAGGCTGGGGACGCCCAGAGCCGTGGGCAGCCCAGATTGGCACAGTAATGGAGAAGCAGGAAGGCTGGGTGGAGACTGTCCTGGGTCACTTCTGCTTCCTCTCCGCCTCCCTTGTCCTAACCTTAGGGCTACAGACCCAAGTGATGGGAGACCCAAGAGCTCCAAGCCTGCCCCCTGCCTGCAGCCAACAGAGAGGGGGCTCCTGCCATCTGGGAGCAGTATGTGGCCTGCTGCCTGGCCCCCCTCCTAGTCCCCCAGACCCTTTGAAGACCGGCGTCCGGCCGGGCAAGTGGGCATTATGGGCATGACTCAGCCCAAGCGGAGGTTAACGAGCAGCAGTGCCTGGTGTGTTGATCAGAGCTCAGCGCTCCAGGTCAAGCTCCCCCCTCTCTGGAGCCCAAAGGCTTGCCTGGCTGTGGGCTTGGCTGCCTCCCTGAGGCCCCAGCCGGTGGTGCCGGGGCCCAAGCCGCAGCTGCTGCAAGACGCACTTCCTGCCCTCCCGGCGGCCACCTTGCCCCCAGCGTGGCCGCCCTTCCGCCCAGGTCCCAGCCATGCAGCTCCCCAGCAGGCTGGGTCAGCGGCCAGCCGGCTAGGGCCAGGAGCCGGGGCCTGGGAGAGGTTACTCCAGGCCAGTGCTCCAGCCCCTCCCCTCCTCCTGCCTGGGTTGCAGCTGCCTCCAGCTAGGTTCTCTGCGACTCTGGTTTCGGTTCCCCAGTGCTTCTGGGGGAGGGGTACAATGGCATCCAGCTCCTGAAGGCCCGCGGATCCTCCCTAGGTCAGATGGCCTTGTGTCCTCGACCTTGTCTCATTGGCAGCCCATCTTATCAGGCAGGGAGGCAAGCTTGTCCCTGATTTTTTTTTTTTAAGACTTATCCCTGAGCAGATAGGGGGCATTCCCAGTTGGGCTCCAGATAAGGAGAAAAAGGGCCGGCTCTGCAGCCGCAACCCCCCGTCCTCCTCCCCTGTGCTCCAGGGACGCAGGGTCTTGGCAGGCAGCCGTGGCCTTGGGTGAGGCACTTGGCGCATTCCCCGCAGCTACATTGTCAGCCCCAGCTGGCACGCCTGCCAGCTCCCAAAACGAGCCTGGATCACCAGGGCGCTCAGAGTAGGCGTGCTCACTTCAGGAAAGGCAAAGCGATGCCCAAGACCTGGCTGGGGACAGGGAAGGTGGGAAGAAGGGAGAATCGCTAGCTTCTTGAAAGATTTCCTCTGGGCTAGTTTCAGGAAATGGCACGTTCACAGGGAAGATTCACCGGCAGGGGTGGGAGGGGCCTGGTTGTGCGTGCATCCCCAACCTGTCTGTGGAGGCCTCGGGCAAAGGGCTGTGTGATGTAATGGGCCTTCATGGGTGGCTTGATTGCCCTCACTGTGCGGGCACGCGACTCAGCCCAGTCCCATTGGCTGATGTCCCCATGGACACTGGCCCAGGCTCAGATCAGCAGGCTGGAGGGCAGACCGCCGAGTATTTTGCTGTTCCTGGGATGTCAAGGAAAAGGGTTGTTACATGGGCTCATACCAACACACCCAACCTCTTATTAGCCTGAGCACAGGTAGACCTTTCTTAATAAGTCAAAGCATCATTCACAAGAATTGGCTTTGCTTAATGGCTCAGCCTACCTGGTCCAAATGCCATACGTCTTGCCACCTCCAGGCTGTGTGAGCTGGAGCAGGTCATTTTGCCTGTCTGGGCTACCATGGACAGGAGGATACACATATGATGGGACGTGGTGAGAATCAATAGATAGTCAGCTATGACATGGTGAATTGGCAAAGGAAACTATTCCAGGCTTGGCAGCTCTTGTCCATTGGGTGGGGAGACAGGATCAGGGCAGACACCCCTACCAAGCCATCCAGGACCCAGTGGCCACCTTGCTGTGACTGCTTCTTAGCCACTCCAGCCCATCTAACTGCTGCTGTTCCAGAGAGCCTGTTTTTCACCCACTCTTTCTGAGATGGCAAGTGGTAGCCAGTGCAGGAGCAGGCAGGGCAGGTCCCCTAGCGGCCTGGCTGGCGTCCTCAGCTGGCTTGGGCATGGGGCTGTCCACTGAGGATGATTCCTGAATGAGTTTGCTTGGGAGTGTGCCCTACCTGTCTCTGTGGGAAGATGTAGTGCAAGTTTGTTACCCAGAGGAACTGAGGGAAAGGAAAGGGAGGCCAGGGCCTATGGAGGTAGAGATGACCGAAGCACGTTCTTTGAAACCAGCTATTGCTTTTGGGTTTCCTGCGCTCCCGTCCCCTTTGTTCAGGGTGGCCCCTCGGCAGTTGCTCAAAGAATGGGCAAGGTGGCTGCCCTCGGCCTGTGTTGAAAAGCTCTCTGGGGCAGAGAGGGGGCATGGTGAGCATCCCAACTGAAGAGACAGTGGAAAGGGGGTGGGAGCCTCAGAAATGGGGGGGGGTGAGCCCCTTCACTGCCGCTGTACCCCGGCGCTGCATTGTCTATGCCATACCTCTCCCGAGTTTGAGACCTGTCCCTCTGTCCATGGTAGTCCAGACAGGGAAAGTGATCTGCTCCAGCTCACAGCCTGGAGGTGGCAAGAGGCATGGCATTTGGACCAGTTAGGCTGAGCCATTAAACAAAGCCAATTCTGGTAAACGATGCTTTGACTCATCAAGCGTGGCCCAGTCCTAAGCCCCAGCTCTCAGCCCCAATATGGCCCTCGAATGGCCTGTGTGTCCTGGCACTCAGGGATGATCACTGTTGCCCCGGGGGACTGACTGCCATGCCTCTGGGTCTCCGGCACCCCTTCCCCACAGGTGGAGCTGGCCCTTCTGCAGCACTCCTACCAGGACCTGGCTTCCCAGATCAACCTCATTCTGCTGGAACGCCTGTGGTATGTCATGCTGGAGCAGTTCCTCATGAAGTACGTGTGGAGCGCCTCAGGCTTGCTTATGGTGGCTGTCCCTATCATCACTGCTACCGGTTACTCAGAGTCAGGTGAGAGGGGGCTGGCCTTCTGGACCACTGGACTAGGCTTGGGAGGGCTCGGTGCCCAGCTGGCCCACCTGCCTCTTCTACTGCTGGGGACCCCAGCTGGCACCCTTAGGAAACATCCAAGGTTGCACTCTCCTGGAGCTCCTCTCTGCCAAACTACATGTGGGTACCCATTATAGTATCTCATGCTTCTTGGTCCCACTCAGCCAAGCCCGAGGATGGCAGTTCAGGAACACCCTTCAACAGGCATCTACACTGTTGCCCACCTGGCCCTGTCTTGACCTATCTTGGCAGTGGGAGGATGGGGAAGTACATTCAAGGAGCCCCTTTCTGGCTCAAACCTGGGCTTTCCCACACCTGCAATAGCTCTTGCAGGTTGTCAAGGGCAGGGCCCTCTTGCCTGAGGCCTGGGGGACTGTGAAGGATTCTGTTTGTTCCTCTACTGGTTTGCAAGGAATTCATTCTATTTGCAGTCTTCATGGTTGCCCTTCAAAGGTTAATGTGCATACTTGAGAAAAGTCTGGGTTAATCAATAGCTCCTCCTCATCCCAGCCCTTGCTTACCACACTTTGGAGGACCAGCCTGCCATCAAGTTTGCCATGGCTTTATCGGGTCACTGCATGTTCAGATTTCACCCATGAGTTTCTGCTTTTTTTGGGTTCTCTTTCTCTGAAGTTTTCTCTAGGAAAGCCCTTCCCCACAGGCCAGTAACCCTCCTTCAGACAGACGTCCAGAAGTTCTTACCGTGAGGCTTTTGTCAAGGGAGCTTTGAGAATATTTTGTTGTCTGAAAATGTCTTTATTTTACCCTCCCCTCCACAACTGAAGTTTAGTTGGATGAGGAAGTTGAGGCGGTCCGTTGGTCTCTCTTTAGCCTGTTGACAACATCCCATTGCCTCTGTTGGAAAACCTGCCATCAGCTTAACTGCTCTCAGCTGCCTGCATGGTCTCCCTGGTTAGACTTTTTCTCTGCAGTTTCTCTGGGAGGTGTTTGCCCGTGTGTTTCCATTTATTCTTGAAACTTCTTGTATGTCCTGTGAATATCCACTGTTCCATCATTCAGATTGCTTCCATCATGGAAAGTTCTCAGTTGTTCCCTTTTTAAATATTGTCTCTCTCGTTCTTTGTGCTCTTTCCTTCTGGCCTCTGTCTGCCCCTTTCCCCACCTCGCACTGTCTGCGCTAAATTCTGGGAGGGGTCTTCCAATTTTCCCATTCACTCATTGGCTAGTTTTCTCTTTGGCTGCATCTAATTTGAATTATTTTCATTTTCAATGATGTTTCTGTAAAGTTATACTTGATTCTCTTTTAAATAGACATTTGAAAATAGAAATTTCAAGCTGTGTTTGTGTCTGCTTTTCTCATCTCTCTGACTGCCCCTCTTCAGCCAGCTACCATACTAATCATGCTTATCCCAGGGTCTCTATCCAGCCATTGAGACCTGGGTTCAATCCCTGGATCAGGAAGATCCCCCTGGAGAAGGAAATGGCAACCCACTCCAGTACTCTTCCTGGAAAATCCCATGGACCGATGGAGGAGCCTGGTAGGCTACAGTCCATGGGGTCACTAAGAGTCAGACATGACTGAGCCACTTCACTATTTATCCAGCCATTTGGTTGTCTGAATTCTTGAGAGTCTAAGCTGACTTCATCTTCCAGCTGCCGGTCTTCTTTGCTCAAGGTCCTTGTGGGCTTAGCAAGCACTGGAGGGTAGGATTCCCCAGAGCACTCATTGGCTTTGGTTTTAGCTGAGCTCCCAGGTAATGAACCAGTTGGAGGCCATTTCCTGTTAACTTCTCCACTTGGGGTGGAGGAGTTCCTGAACTTGGAGGTGATATTAATTTGAGCCCTAGACACATAATTACCAGTTCAGAGAGGAGACTTTGCATCTTGAGCCGTGGCTGTGTGACAGCAGCTCCCATCTCCGTCTCCAGGGATGTCACAGGAGCACTAGCTGCTAGCTTCTCTTCTCGCTCCTGGGAATTTCCCTTGCTTTCCTGCAAGCACAGCTCCGATGGAAAAGGTGTTGTATCTTGTGCAGTTGGGTGGTTAGAGAGTTTTCAGTACTATGTAAAGAGAGGGAGCCTGATGTGCACATTTCCAGAACATGAAGTATCTCTCACTCTTTCCGTATAGGTGCCTCTCTCTTGGGGCTTCTGTACCCTCAGTTGTCTGTCTCTCTCTGCCAAGAGGAAAGATCTAGTTGGAAGTGGTCATTGTTTCCACCAATGGACCTATTCAAGGGGTGGCCTTGATTTGGCCAGGAGCATGGGAAGGGACCCAGGAGGAAACCAACCTGCGGTTTCTGGGAGGAAGCGCTTGCGGCCAGTTCCCTCCTCTGCAGGCCTAGGACTTTCTGGAGCTTCTGCCATGTTAGGCTTTGTGGGCGATTCAGAGGCCTCAGCTCCTGTGCCCACCTTCATGGTCAGACTCAAGAAAGCCAGAGGTGTTTCTGTTTTGTCCCTGCTGTGTCTCCAGTAACTGCAAACTGGAGAGTGCTGGGAATGAGGTAAGGAGGCAGGCGATCACCAGGGGAAACAGATGTAGCTAACTTTGCCCTTCTGGCCTGCCGGCACCTCCAAGCTAGAAGGCCAGAGAGGGACCACCTGGCCAGGAATAGCTGTTGGGTGTCTAGCTGTGGGCACTGAGGACAGTGGCAGAGAGTTATGCCATCTCCAGGGAGGTACCTGCTGTTGCCAGGGTCTCCGCAGACCCTTCCCCTTTGTGTGCAGTCCCTTTCAAGCTCTCAGGATGTCCAGAGAGGATGGTTTGTGTTCCCCCCTCCCCCGCCCCACCTAGGACCATGGTTGGAAGGAAGGTCTGGGATGTTAGACTCTCAGAATTGCCAGTCCCCTCCCCTGCCCAGTGCCCTGGATTCCTGGTGCTCTGGCCAGCGGTCCAGCATTGCCTACCCCCCACTGCACCTGCCCTAACCTTTCTTCCCCTTCCTACCCCACCCTCACCATCATATCCTTGAGGGCTCCTGCCTCAGAACTGTTTATGCCTGTGGATAGAGGTAGCCCTCAGAGTCAGCTTGTTTTGCTTCCCATCACCATTTAGAGAACATTTCTTGTATAAAAGCCTTGCCCCTCTAGGGGACCCAAGGATCAAGAGAGTCAAAGCCATGGACAAGAGAGGGTTGTACTGGGCACCCATGAGGTCTCAACTGAGACAGAAAAGAAAAAAGCAAGTCAAGACAGAAGTGGGCTCCTTTAGAGAAATAGCAGCATTGAGGATGGCCACAGAATACAGCATCAAGGGGAGAGATGAGGGCAAAACGGGGTCAATCAACATTTTTTCATGTGCTTATTGGCCATCTGTGTATCTTAAAATGGAAACGTTTATTTAGATCCTTTGCCCACTGTTTAATTGTGTTGTTTATCTCCTTACTAGTGAATTGACAAAGTCCTTTATGTATTCTAGGACCTAGGCCCTTATCAGATTCATGATTTGCAGGTACTTTCTTCCAGTTCATAGGCTGTGTTTTCACGTTGTGGATTTACTTTGGTGCCCCCAACTTTTTCTCTTTGATGAAGCTTCCTTCTCTGTTTTGCTTTTGATGTCCTATTCAAGGAGCCATACCTAATGCCCAAGTGCTTTCTTCTAAGAGTTACATAGTCTCAGCTCTGTGTGCAGGCCAGGGCTCTGCTTCCAGTTTGTTTTTGTGTGTTGTGTGAGGTCGAGGTTTGTCTTTGGCACGTGGAGACCCGGTTGTCCAAGCACCATGTGCTAGAGGGACTTCCTCTTTCCCCTAGTGGTTCAGTTTTGATTTTCCATTGTCTTTGCCCCCTCCCCACCCACCCCCCAACCCCTGCCATGCTCTGCAGACTCGGAGGCGGTGAAGAAGGCGGCCCAAGTGATGAAGGAGGGGGAACTGGTGAGTGAGCGCACGGAAGCCTTCACCATCGCCCGCAACCTCCTCACTGCTGCCGCGGATGCCATCGAGCGGGTCATGTCATCCTACAAGGAGGTAGCCCCCAGTCCAGCCCCTGACCCAGCCCTCCCCCCACCCCACTCGTGCCCTCTCCCCTCCACCCCTGCTGGCAGAGGCTAAGCCAGGATCACCCTCCCTGCAGGTCACAGAGCTGGCTGGCTACACAGCCAGGGTCTACGAGATGTTCCAGGTATTCGAAGATGTCCGGCAGTGCCGTTTCAAGAGGCCCGGTGAGTCGGAGGATGCGCAGGCGGGGTCCGGGGCCATCGTAAAGTCTGGCGTCCGCGTGGAGGGGCTCCTGCAGATCCGAGGTAAGGTTGCCCTCCCCAAAGAGGCCCACGGGTCCCTGCCCTCCCACCACTGCCTGGTGTGCCCTGGAGGGCTTCCCGGGCAAGTTATGGTCCCCACTTACCTCCTTCCAGAGCAGTAACCCTGGCCAGGATTTCTCTTTGCAAAAGAGGTGGAGGGTGGCCCCTGAGTGGAGTAGGGGCTGGGGGGAGGGGTGCACTGTGGAAGAGGCCCCAAGCATTGGAGTTGGCGTTGGGGGGCGCTGCAGGGCAGGAACGGACACTGTCCCTCTCCCCAGCCCCGAGCACAGCAAGGGAAGCACGGTGAAGCCACACACTGGTGGGCTGCTAGGGGGTGGGGGCCCACGGAAGCCAGCAGAAGGTGGGGGAGCACTCCACCCCCTTCTCTCTGCCTCACACCCTCTCTCCAGGCCAAGTGGTGGATGTGGAACAGGGCATCGTGTGTGAGAACATCCCCATTATCACGCCCACCGGGGAGGTGGTGGTAGCCAGTCTCAACATCAGGGTAAGTAGAAGGCGTGGCCAAGCACCAGCCCAGAAGCTCGGGTGGGGCTGAAGCCAACCCTGAGGCCCCGGGCCTGGCCTTCTGCACCCACAAGCCACCCACAAGTCTCAGCCCTTAGGACCCAGCCTGGTCAGCCTGCCTTCTGTTGTCAGTAGCCATTGACCCCAGGTCTACGTGGCAGGCAGCTGAAGCTGAAGGTGAAAGAGCAATGTGTCTACCTATTAACTCTGGGGCAATGGAGTCAGAACTGATAAAAGAGCCTTGTGATTACCAGGATTGGGCAGGAGTCACCCACAGGTTCCTGGCCGTATTGTTGCCAGCACCCCACACCCCACACCCCACCCCGTCCCTGAGAAGCCCAGGACCTGGGGACTCTGGTCCAACTCTGGTCCCAGGTTGGTGGAAGTTCTTCCAGTCCCACCCATCTGATGTGAGAGGCACCCAGGGAAAGTGAGTGGTGGGCATGGCCTGGCTCCCTGGGAGAGCTATCATCCACGATGCAGGCTGTCTGTGGACAGGACTCCCTGGGGGCCGACAGCCACCAGTCACCCATGTGCCAGGGCTTTGGACGGAGTGATGGACTGAAGGGTCGTCCTGGGGATGGAAGTCATTCATTTGTTCACCTAATGTTCCCTGAGCTCCAGGCTGGGCACTGTAAACCAGAGGTAATCAGGGAAGCCCTTAAGGGTTACAAAGAGCCCGGGTCAGATGGCTCTCCAGGTTCAGCAAGGACCCCAGCTCACCAGCTCTGGGGGCATAGAAATCACATGAAGCTTCACCCAGGAGCCTCTAGGCAGGTGGGCAGGCGGCCAGCTGGAGGCTGGGCACAGAGCAGTGGTATGATTGCCATTACCCCTGGGAGTAGTCACTTTTGGGAGGTTGGGGTGCTGCTGATGGCCGGTTTATCCCAGTTGAACAGTTGCCAGGCAGGCCCAGGTGGGCAGCTAGTTAGAAGGTGAGGTGAGGCGAGGGAGTGGGGGCCGGGGGCTGAGCCAGGGGCTCTCCATCCTGGCAGAGCCACTGGTGGAGTTGGGCTCTGGTTAGGTTAGCGACAGGGAGCCCCTGGCTCTGTTCAGCCAGGTGATAGGGTAGGAAGGGCGATCGCAGAGGTTCAGGGAAGGGGGCGAGGGAGACCGCCTGGGACATGTGCTCTGGGATAATGAGAGGACCACCCTGGCTGGAAGGCCCGGGGTGTCACGGTGAAATCACACAAGGTGGTGGTGGTGGGGATCGGATCGGGGAGCTGTGCCTTCAGTGCCGTCCTCTACCCTGCAGACAGCAGCCCCCCACCAGGTGTCTCCAGATCAGCAGATGTCAGGCTCGTTGCGTAACCTGAAGCACTCACTGCCCACATGGCCTCCGGGTGTGCTGGGGGGGGCGCCACTGACTGTTTGCTGGACCACGGCAGGACAGGCTGTCCTGCTGTCCCCGTGGTCTCTGGCGTGCATCAGGGACAAGCCAGGGCCCTGCAGCTGAACTCCAGAGCCTGCCCTGGGGGCCCTGCCATGCTGCAGCCAGAGATGGAGAGTGGGCATGGGCCAGGTGCTGACCTGAGGCCGGCAGGTCAGCCACAGGTGAGGGGAGGGGGCCTGGGCCATGCCCACAGCTGCCTGCCACCCCTGCAGGTGGAAGAAGGCATGCACCTGCTCATCACTGGCCCCAATGGCTGCGGCAAGAGCTCCCTGTTCCGGATCCTGGGTGGGCTGTGGCCCACATACGGCGGTGTGCTCTACAAGCCCCCGCCCCAGCGCATGTTCTACATCCCCCAGAGGTGAGCAACACCCCCCGCCCCCTCTGATCTGAGGGGACAGAGGGTGGCAAGAGGCTGCCCCTGGGGTCGGAGGGGATGGGCACCTCCACCTGCCAGCCCCCTGCCCCCACCTGCTGGCCCAGAAGCCTTACCACCGTGGGGCACATGTGCACACGTGAGTGTGTCTGAGCCTGCCAGGGGGTGGGTGTGCTTCCCTCCAATCGGTCCCCCGCCGAGGTGCCAGCCTTGCCTCCATGGCCACCCGGCTCTCCTGCAGGCCCTACATGTCCGTGGGCTCCTTGCGTGACCAGGTTATCTACCCCGACTCGGTGGAAGACATGCGCCGGAAGGGCTATTCTGAGGAGCATCTGGAAGGCATCCTAGACATCGTGCACTTGAACCACATCCTGCAGCGGGAAGGAGGTAGGGGAAGGGGCATCCCCCCCCCCACCAGTGCTGCCCCTTCCTCCCTCCTAGCACCACTCCCAGGGTGAAAATGACCCCAAGCAATGTTCAGGAGTCCAAAGCACAATGGAGTCGGGAGAGCCTCACCCCGGTGGAGGACCCACAGGAAGCACACAGCCCCAGACAGACTGAGCGTGGAAAGCAACCAACACTGGCAGTGGCATCTGGTGGGGCACTGTCTCTGGGCGGTGGGCTCAGGCAGGCAAGGCCCCCTCGGGCCAGGCAGGGAATGCACAGGTACGTTAGGCATTTCAGTGAGAGTACAGAGCCCAGGTGTAGGCAGGGCAGCCTGGCAGGTGCATGGCGACAGTGGAAATGGAGGGGACACCTGCCCTCCCACGTGTCTGCCTCCAGCCTGGGGCTATGTCCCCTGGGAAGAGACCACAGGAAGGAGGGACAGGCCAGTACTTGGGGGCCTCTCAGGTTGGTCTTTAAATGCCCACAGCACCCGGAGGAGGAGAGGGTGGCCCAGCTGCCGGCTTTGGGGTTTCTGTACTGAAAGCCGAATGATAGAAGTCAGAGTCCTGCCTTGGCCACTGAGGGGCAGCTTGACTGAGCCAAACCTGACCTCTGGACATGCCCTCCACCTGTAACAGGGGCAGGTGCCAGTCTCAAGCTCAGGGCCGACAGGTGTCATCACCTGTACAGAAAGGGGCCGCAGACAGTGGATTCAGTGGGCTGGCTCCTCCGGGGCCCCTTGTTGCCATGATTCCTGCAAAGCTTTATTCTCAGCTTCCTCCTGGCAATGCAGAGAGCCGGGTTCGATCCCTAGGTTGGGAAGATCTCCTGGAGAGGGAAATGGCCACCCACTACAGGCTTCTTGCCTGGAAAATCCCATGGACGGAGGAACCTGATAGGCTCCAGTCCATGGGGTCGCAAGGAGTCGGCCACGACTGAGCAACTTCAGTTCACTTCACTTCCTCCTGGCCGCTGGGGCCCCTTTTGCTCACCCTGGGAGTGCTCCCCTCCACCTGGGCTCCATGTGCCCCTGAGTGCCTGGGGTCCCTGAGCTGGCTGTTACACCCTGTTAGCATTGAGTTCAGCTGTGAGTAACAGAACTACCCACCAACAGTGGCTCAGATCATTTACAAGTTTATCTTACTGGGACGTAGAAGTCCTGAGGAAGGCAAGCTGCAGTTGGTGGGGATTGCCCCACCCCATAAAGGCCCCCGAGTCACTGCTGTATGTGGTCTCCATTCCTGAGGTCACTTCGCAGTCCACGGTGGCTGCTTTGGCGTCATGTCACATCACATATCCCGAGCCATAGGATAGAGAAGGTAAGGTGTGGGCAATCACTGAGTGAATGCTGTCTTTTAAAGAAAGTTCCAGAAGCTGCCACATGTGTAACACGTAAACTTACACCCCATTGGCCAGGATTCAATTCTGTGGTTAAACCTCCCATCGGGGCAACTTGGACAGTGAAGTGTTTTTTTTTTTTTTTTTTGGTGGGTGGCCACATGCCCTTCCGAAAATTCTAGTTCTCTGGAAAGAGAGTGGAGGGAGCAAGCCAGGAGGCGTTTCTTGTGAATCACCCACTTCCCTCCTCATCCAAGGAACTCTCCTGAGCCTTGTTGACATGCTTCACACTGGGACACACAGGCCTCGTCCCTGTGGGTGAGAAGGTTTCCAGAGAGACCCCCAGAGCCATTCTTGGGGCTCTGCCTTGACTGTCTGCTGCCCACTGGCACTTCATTAGCCCCATTAGGTCCTGTGTTAGTTTGCTGGCACCAGAGACTGGGTGGGGCAAACAACAGAAATGTATTGTCTCCCAGTCGTGGAGGCCAGACGTCCATGATCCAGGCATGGGCAAGGTAAGTTCCTCCCACTGGCCGTGAGGGAGGGTGTGTTCCAGGCCTCTCTCCTGGGATGGGAGAGGCCATCTGCACCCTGTGTCATCTTTCCTCCTTGTGTGTCTGTGTCTCCAAGTGTCCCCTTTTATAAGCACACAGTCCCATTGGATTAGGGCCACCCTCGTTACCTCCCTTTAACTCGACCAGTCCTAAGAAGACCCAGTGTCCACCTGCGGTGGGTGGCATCCTCAGGGCCTGCAGATGAGGACTGCCTGGTGTCTTATCAGAGGAAATGTGTGTAAATCTGGACCGAGTCCTTTTGGATTAATACAGTGTCTGCAGACGTCCCCAGTGGCCGGCCTTTCCCTGCCGTGTTCTGTTCTCACTCGTGTCTGTAGTCCTCTGAGCAACCCCAAGCCTTCCCACAACACCCACCATACCCGGGCCTGAGCTTGGGCCTGGGCCCTTCTGCAGATGCTGCCCAGCCCTCTTGAACTGAACAGCAACCCTTGTTCTGTGCCAGGTTGGGAGGCCGTGTGCGACTGGAAAGATGTCCTGTCGGGGGGCGAGAAGCAGAGAGTTGGCATGGCCCGCATGTTCTACCACAGGTGAGCTGCCAGCCTCCCAGTAACCAGGTGCTTGGGCTCCCTCGGGCACCGGGAGTTCCCCGAACCTCTTTCCCTGGGACCTCCTGAAGCAGGGAGGCAGAACTGCTTGGAGGCCTGGCTCCAGCCCGGGGGGATGGGGGGGATGGGGGTGTCAAGCTCCCCCTGCCTCCGCCTGAGGGGCTGGGGCCATCCCAGGGCATTAGCCCTGGAGGCCTGCAGCCTCACCCACATGGCCATTACCCCAAGGCCCAAGTACGCCCTCCTGGATGAGTGTACCAGTGCTGTGAGCATCGATGTGGAAGGGAAGATCTTCCAGGCGGCCAAGGATGCAGGCATTGCGCTGCTTTCCATCACCCACCGACCCTCCCTGTGGTAGGTGTGCCCTCCCTTCCCGAAGGACTCTGGCCGAAGGTTCTGGCGGTCCCGCTGAGTGCCTCCTCCCGGTCCCTCTCCTGACGCAGGAAGTACCACACCCACTTGCTTCAGTTCGATGGGGAGGGCGGCTGGAAGTTTGAGAAGCTGGACTCAGCCGCCCGCCTGAGCCTGACTGAGGAGAAGCAGCGGCTCGAGCAGCAGCTGGCGGGCATCCCCAAGATGCAGCGGCGCCACCAGGAGCTCTGCCAGATCCTGGGCCAGGGTCCTGGGGCCACCCAGGGTGCTGCCACTTGACCGGGGGCCCTGGCTCTCTCTTGCTTGGCCCTTTGCCCCCCTCCACCCCTGCCCCAACCCTCGGATCACATGAAGGAGACAGAGCGCCTGTGCAACCTGGCCCCATGCCCCCCCTCCCCTGCCCCTCATCGCATGCTTCGCCATTCTCCCAGGGGACCACCCATGAAACCCGTGCCCCCTTCCTGGGGACCTGAGTGGGGAAGGGAGAGTGGCCAGAGGTGCACCCCACTGCCAGCAGCAGAGACATCATGGTCCATGCCTCTATTGCCATCATCCCAAGGACCCAGCGAGGCTCCCATCCCCTGGGATGCCCTCGTTGCTGTAAAAACGGCCAAGTGAGACCCTCAGAATGAGACAGAGCCCCTCATTCATGCCCCCTCACCCATCATTCTATAGAATCTGCAAGGAAAAGAATTGCACAGCTTTTCCTACCGAGCCATGATAAGAATGTAGCCCCGTCCCTATCCCCTTCTTCAAGCTAATTTATTGGATTCCTCTTTGTAGACATCTCCATCGCCAGTGGGAGCACCCAGTCAGCCAGCCCCTGGCCCGCCCACCACCCCACCAGCCTACACTGCCAACCACCAGAGGGTGGGTGGGGGCGGGCCGGCCCCAGGGGCGACGGACCCTGGGGCCATGAGGCATGAGGGTACCGTGGTGCCCAGTCCAGTGCCAAAGAGGGGTCAGCGGGGAAGCTGTGTCCGCAAAGGCAGCCCCGACCTGAGAGGGAGACCCCCACTGCTGCCACGCCGCCGTGTGCCTTTCGGGCCCTCAGCCCTGGGGTCGGGGAGCCTCCCTGAGTTCCTCAGTAAAGACCTGCCGTGGAAAGTGCACTGTTGCCTCCCAGCCTCTCTGTCCACACAGGGGCTTGGTTGGGGGAGAGGCAGGAGGGGCAGCTGTAGGCCTGGGTGAGGGGCAACCTCGGTGGCCCACCTGCAGCCAAAGATGCTGGCCCACATGTCTTCTGGACCCGGCCGTGGCAAGGAAGCATCTGCAGTATCTCTCCAAAATGATGGCTAACCCCAAAGAAGACCCTGAACCCTATGCCAGGGAAGAGGAAGGGGCTGAGGCCTGGTCCATGCATGACAAGCTTCGAGAGAGATACCAAGCAGAGGGCTGGTGGGGGACACGGAGGAACAAGAATCCTGAGCCAACCAGGCCAAGGGTAGTGCGACACAGGACTTCCAGACCTTGCAGGAGTGGGAGACGCTTGTGCCACATGCCAAGTGCAGGGGAAAGGGAGGGGCCAGGGCTTGCTTAAAGAGCCTGGACTTACTCTAGAAACAGGATGGAGGTAACATGGGAGCTAATGCTTCAAGGAGGCCAAGCAGAGGGAGACAAGAACACTGCACCTGGCTGTTATCCCCTGCTGGTGGGGCCAGAAATGGGGCAGCCATGGTGGGCAAGAGGGTGGCAGGTCCGAGAAAGCTGGGCACAGAGTTCCCATGTGGCCCAGCACCTCTACTCAGAGGTTTAGACCCAGAGAATGGAAACTAGATGTTCGGTCATAAACCTTTACACATGAATATTCTTTACAGTACTGTTGATGGTAACCCAAAGTGGAAACAACTGGAATGTCTATCAACAAGATGAATGCACAAGTAAAATGTGGTCTCTCCATACAATGGAGTATTATTCCGCTTCCCAAGTAGACCGATGGCTGCCAGGGGCTGGGGAGTGACTGCTGAACAGGTTCAGTTTTCCTTTTTGGGGTAATAAGAATGTTATAGAACTGTAGAGGCCATGGTTGTAAATACTGTCTGTCTGCTAAATGCCAACAAAGTGTGAACTTTAAAAGGCATGGCTTTATGTGAATTGTACCTCAAAAAATAGATGATAGAGACACTGATCCTAAAGAGGTAGAAGTGTTGGATGACCAATAGATAATAGAGATGATAGATTGATGATGATGATGATGGATGGATGGATGGATGGATGGATAATAGGTGAAGTGATACAGACAGACATAGACAAGGAGCACACCGCTTGACAACTCAGGCTGGATGGCAGAAGGCACAAGTGGAAGTGATGAGCAGGCAGTTGGCGCTAGGAGGATGCAGCTGGCTGAGAGCTCCAGGCTGGAGGTCCTCTGAAGGGGCATTGGCCAGCAGAGAAGCAGCGTGGGCAGGAGGTGCCTTGGTCTCTTATCTGGGAAACAGGAGGAAGATTGCGTTTTATTTGAGGTTAGGAGTTGTTCGTGATCCTGGGAGAACTAGCAATTCAGAGGTTTAGGAGTTGTTCCCCTGTATCTTGCAAAGATTATGCAAGTTGTCCCTACTTGATAATAAATCCTTTTTTTTTTTCCAGCTTACAAAGCTAGAATGGTTCTGTGGTCTGCCACCAAACCCTAATTGATATCGATGGAAAGAGACATACCTAGTGAATATCACTCAAAAGGAAGTTAGTGAAGAGAAGTTAACTTTGGACAAAGTAGACCTCAGGGCACAAATCATTATTAGAAATGCAAGAGGTCGCTGCCCAATGATTAAAGAAGTAATCCATTGAGAAGCACTAACCATTCTGAAGGTATGTGTGTAACCTGCTACAAAAAAGTAGCAGGAAAAGGAAAAATTAATAAATTAGTAAATTCACCACAATAAATCACACTACCCCTCACTCCAATTGGTAGCTCAAGCAGACAAAATGTAGCACCAGTTGAACAAGTTTGATTAACAGATACATGAAAACTAGGGAGTACACACTTCAAGTTCACCTTGAACACTTACTAAAACCCACCATGTTCTCAGCCACAAAACAAATCTCAATACTAGAATGAGTATCACACAGAGCATGTTCTCAAACTGCAATGGAATAAACCCATAAATGGATGATAAAGCTAAAATGAAGTCCTCCCACATTTGAAATTTTAAATTTACACAGTTAAATTTTAAAATACACTTCTGAATAATTTATTGGTCCAGAAGAATGATAATGAAAATCTAAAAAATGTTAGAACTGAACGACAATGAAGACGTGCAGCATGTAGCTCAAGCAGGACTTATGAGGAAACGTACAACCTTAACCTGAGGGAGCTGAACACAGGAAGTCAGAAAAACCACAGTAGAATAAACTCAAAGAAAGCCAAAGGAAGGAACTCACAAAGACAGTAGAAGTTGATGAAATTGAGAAAAAACAAAGATAAAACCAAAGTTGGTTCTCTGAAATTAGTAACATAGATAAGGCTCTGGCAAGAAAGATGGGCTTTCCTGGTAGCTCAGCTGGTAAAGAATCCGCCTGCAATGCAGGAGACCTGGGTTCGATCTCTGGGTTGGGAAGATCCCTTGGAGAAGGGAAAAGCTACCCACTCTAGTATTCTGGCCTGGAGAATTCCATGGACTGTATAGTCCCTGGAGTCGCAAAGAGTCCGACATGACTGAGCAAGTTTCACTTTCACTGGCAAGAATGAAAAGAGGGTATTCAAATAAACAATGTCAGGAGGGAAAAAAGGTAGAATCACAGCGGCCACAGCCCTTGCCAATGTAATGAGAGGCTCTGGATAAAGCATGGAAGCGTGGACACCTGTGTAGCCCCTGAAAGGTACTCCTTTTCTGTGGTACATTTGTTCCTTTTTTCACTTGTCATCCCCTTACCATCACTTCTGTAGTGTTTTGAGAAAGCAGAACTAATTTCAAAGTACCAACCTTTGGTTTTGTTGAAAACAGCAATGAGAGGCAGCCGGCAGCAGAGGCTGGTTTCCACAAGAATTGGAAGCACCAGATAACTCAGAAGAAATACTCTATGTGTGTGTGTGAGTGTGTGCGCGTGCGTGTGTGTGGGGGTGTGTGTGCTGGGGTGGGGAACAGAAGGATCCATTGAGAGTCTGTGTAAGAGGCTACTAGATCACATGTATTTCAATTATATATATATATATATATATATATATATATATGTATATATAAAGCTGCTAGATTCTCACATCTTTGTCCCACCTCATGCAGAAAAGCTGACTTTACTCTCTGGTGAGTTAGAAAAGAAAGTCTGTGGAAACGCAAATTAAAGTCACAGTGAGGACTTCCTTAGCGGTCCAGTGGTTAAGGCTGCACTTCCAATTCAGGCAGTGTGGGTTCAGTCCCTGCTCAGGGAAGTAAGATCCCATATGCCATACAGCACAGTCAAAAAAAAAAAAGTCACAGTGAGATAACGTTTTGGTCCCATGCACTGATTGACAAAAATGCAGAAAAAGGCAAAAGAAAAAGACAGAGGAGAAGGGGGCAACAGAGGATGAGATGGTTGGATAGCATCACTGACTCACTGGACATGAGTTTGAGCACACTCAGGAAGATAGTGAAGGACAGGGAAGCCTGGCGTGCTGCAGTCCATGGGGTCGCAAAGAATCAAGGCTTAGCAACTGCACAACAACAAAAAGTCAGACAATGCCATGTGTTGGCAGTGATCTGGAGTATCAAGAACTCATACACTGTGGAGGAGATATAAACTAGTACAATTACTCTGGAAAACAATTTGGCATTATCTAGTAGAATTGCCTGGAAAATCTCATGGACAGAGGAGCCTGGTGGGCTACAGTCCATGGGGTCGCAAGGATTGGACACGACTTAGCAACTAAACCCCAGTGGAATCGAAGATGTACATATTTACAACCTGACAATGTCACTCCTGAGTGTATCCTATAGAAGATCTTTCACAAATAAACCAGATTACATGTACAGGTCATTCACAGCTGCCTTATTTATAATAGGCAAAAGCCAGGAAAAAAAAAAAGCAGGTGTCCATTAACAGAACAATGTTACAGTCATATGATAGAAAATTATTCAGCAATAAAAATGAATAAACTCCAGCTATATGTTTCAAACTTGGATTCATGTCACTAATGTAATATGGAACTAAAGCAACAAGTTACAGAAAAATACATCCAGTATGACTCCATTTATATAAATTCCAAAAATATAAAACCAAACTATGTATATTGTTTAAGGATTATCCGTATTTGGGCCAAGTACAAAGAAAAGTAAGGATAGTGGTTGCCTCTGTCAAGGGAGTAAGAGGGTATATGGGGGCTTCAGAGTCATTGGTAATGTTGCCCTCCCGTTGACACTGGAGACATATGTGTAGTAAGAGGATACAACGAACAGAGTAAAATGGCCTCCTACAGAATGAGAGAAAATATTTATGTCATATATCTGATAAAGGATTAATATTTAGAATACACAAAGAACACTGACAACTCAACAACAACAGATCAAATTACCTGATTAAAAAATGTGCAAAGGACTTGAATAGACATTTCTCCAAAGATGATATACAAATGGCCAACAAGCCTATGAAAACATACTCAACATCACTAATCATCAAGAAATGTAAATCAAAACCACAATAAAATACGTCACACCCGTTAGAATGGTTACTACTAAAAAAGCACAGAAAACATCAAATGGTGGCAAGAATGTGGAAAAATTAGAAGCCTTGCACACTGTTGGTGGGATTGTAAAGTGGTGCAAGCTGCCATAAAAAAATGGTCTGTAAGTTCTCCAAAAAAGCAGAGAACTACCACCAGCATTCCCACTTCTGAGTATATATCCAAAAGAACTGAAAGTAGAGCTATATACATATCCATGTTCTATTCACATGCAGCACTGTCCACAATAGCCAAGAGGCAGAAGCAAGCTGAATGTCCACTGACAGATGAATAGATGAACAAAATGTGGTCTATACACAAAATAGAAGGGAAGCCAACCAGATGCTATAACATGGGTAGCCCTTGATGACATTATGTTATGCGAAATAAGCCAGTCACAAAAGAGAAATACATGGTTCCACCTATGTGAGGGCTTCTTCAGTGACTCATAGGTAAAGAATCTGCCTGCAGTTCAGGAGC